CCGGCCGAATTACTGTGAAATACGTCCTACCCCCAGGCATTGAGAGCACTCCGCTGGATGCCTCACATGTTGTGGGTTGGGATCCTGAATGGCTCCCTCTGCCCAGGCCAAACTCTTGCAGAGTTTGTGCCCCTTTTGTGCCGAACGCCCGAGGCCCGGTGTCAGGTGAGATAAGGAGCTCCTTTAGCAAATCTCCTTTTTCGAAACCAAAAACCATGAACTCCTCAGTTTCAAACTCCTGCAGTTAAAGACTTCGGAATGCAGCCTGGGACTTCAATCGCGAATAGCTCCCCAGAGTCCCATCTCAACCTCACACTCTCCCCTCAGCCTGAGCGCTGGCGGCATGCTGCACAGTACACATACACATATTGCAGCTGGGCCCCTTCAAACTTCTTTCGGGAAGCCCAACGTAACACCCTGCACGCCCCCAAACCCTGAAGGACCCTTAACCCCATGTCCCCATGCTAAATCCACGAGCCTAAAGAAGATGCAAGTCTTCAGGCGGTTGTTTACGAGGGCTCAGGATCGAGGTCTGCTGCCGCCGCTTCTGCTGGCCTGATCTCATGCTCTGGTTGGACGTTGTACTTCTGAGACTGTGAACTGTTGGGTGCGGGGATTCAGGGTTCAGGGATGAGGAGGTCATCAGGGTTTGGGGCGTCTAAATCTTATGAGAGCGTGCGTGTTCGGAGAGGTTGCGGTTGTAGGGTGCACTTAGGTCTGGCCCATAGCTTCGGCAAACAGCTGACCGACACAAGTTTAACCCTCCTCAATCCTCCTCACCTCATCAGGCAGCGGGCAAAACATATCCCCTACCTGCCTACTCTCCTGCGTGTGCGATGTACACGCCGAGCATTCTGCTGCTGCGTTGCACCGCTTCCTCACCGTTGTAACACATTGGGGACGGTCCTGAAATATCGGCGTTTTCTGGGTTTATGGCGCTCTCAACCCTCAACCCTGTGGCCATCAGAGCAAATTCGATGTAAGGCAGGAAACTCATGTCCACAAAGGCCCGGAATGATACCCTGGACCCTAAACCCTACAATCATGGGTACATAGGTTTGAGGGCTTCAGGGCTGTACAAACCATCACCGCTCTCCACAGCTCCCAGATGTGCAAGTCGTCTTCGACGGGTGTGCGTGGGCGGGTGGGTTTAGGGTGCAGGGTTATTAGGGCTCAGGGTCAGGGTTTGCCGAAGAATAGCGTGAAAGTGAGAGGGTCTGGCTACATGGCCGGCTCGAGATTCTGATCCTTTGCGTTCTGCTGTGGAGGCTTGTGGAGGGCCGTCCTCATGTTCACTCCCGCGCAGTCGTGGCCAGGCCACCCAAACCTCCTTTTAGGGCTCATAGCTCAGCTCAAGAAAGAAACCTACTCTGCTTTGTTACCTTGCAACGTGCTAGGCGGAGAGGTGGAGGAGGCCCTGAGAACTGGCCAGTATCGAAGTTTGGGGCTCCAGGTTTAGGGTGACTTTATTAAGGGATCCAGAACTGATACCATGTGGGCGGGTGTTATTGCATCCGTGGCTGTGCGAGGCATCGAGGTCGAGGGCCTTTGGCGCCGCCTACCCACAGTACGTGGGCGGCGAAAGCCTTGAGTTTGGGTTCAGGGTCTAGGGTTTGGGGCTCCACCGAGGTCTCGAAGCTGAGGATGGCGCTTCTTCTACATCCGCAAGGCCAAAGACCGCGAGGAGATGCTGCCCAACAACTGCCTCAAGTAACTGAACTACAATGAAAGTGCTTCTGCACAGGTCTTGGCACAGCCCAAAGCTTGAAAACTCATCCTGCAACACCAGATTGCTCACGTCCCATATGCTCAACCACTACACAGCTGAGCTCCAATCGCAGCATGCAAGGCAGCCATCGGGAGTGGCTGCGCCTTGTAATGCAATATCTCAACTCACCACCCCGCAGGAAGCATCTTGCATGGAATCAAGGGTGCGGATGAGCACGACATGTTACGACATCTGCCAACATGTGAAACTTCCCCCAACGATTTCAGCAATGAGAAAATGCTATGAACGTGCTATGAACCTTCCCTGAACATGCTGCGTTGACAATCTCAGGTTAGCACTTGCAAACTCGCCCAGCAGCTGCCCTGCAGCTTGCGCACGGGATTGCTGCTGCCTGAGGATGCGAAGAAGCTCAAGGATGCAACAGCCACTCATGGGACTGCGAGTATTATTTGAATGATGGCTGCTGAGGTCATTGTTTCCATGATTGCAACTATGATTGCAAGGCCTCGTGCTCCCAACGGCAATGCGACTACCACGTTGCTAGACATGCTGTCCTGACTTGCTGGATGCGAATCGTGGGCCTTTAGGGATATTTTTGGTAACTGCCAGGCGTCACGAAGACCTTTACCCAGCATAACTGGCCAGTAATCCGGATTCTACACGTTCGCGTCTAGGGTTTAGGTTTTTAACGGGCTTCTCCGTACAGGGTGTGGGGTTCGGGATGTGTGAGGGTTTAGGGTTACGCGTTTGCGGCTTTTTGGGCGTTGGGTTCCAGGGGCTTTCGCATATTTACTTCTTATAGCGTTTAGGGTTTGGGGTTTCTGAAGTCTTGGGTGTTCAGGATGTTAGGGTGTTGGGTGATTCGGGGACTCTGATCCGGGATTTCAGGCTTTGAGGCTTCAGGGGTCCGCCGACCGTGGCGGCGTGGATGGGTGGTCCGCCCACTTCGAAGGGTCGCTCGAGGGGTCGATTTCGGGCATCACACAGAAGTAAGGGTGAAACTCCTCGTTTTCCCCCCCTGAGATGTAACTCCCTCGCAAGGCGTACAGGAACACCGGCACGCAAGTGTCTCCTTTTGCTACAGGCGCACAGCTGTAGTTGAGCACAGATATGGAACATGCAAGTGATACGTGAGACTGACGGCGCCCGGAATGCGTACCATTCGGTTCTTCAACCAGGCACAAATTTAGAACACGCAGGATTGCATGGCCGTGCAGTCGGCATTCAACATTGTCTGTTTTGCTCAAGCAAACTACAACTGCGGAGTACATGAACTACAAAAATGACTTGAAAAATATACATCTGTACAAATCTCTTGCCTGGAGACAGCTGGCTAGAAAAGCAGAACACGCACAACTGAAAAAAATTGCCCACTTGTTCAGGTACCTCTCCAGTGTGGAAAGCATACTGCACATGAGATGTAAAGCATAGCTCCAGATGCCAGCTATGGCATATGGCGGCTTGAAAGAACCGTATGACTCTTGATGAGTATCTTCTCCAGTGAGAAATTTCTCATTTTGCTTTTGGGCAACAAATGTCTGTAAGGAAGTCCCTTCTCCTGTGATGGAAATCGCACTACAGTAGGATACCTTCCCCTGTGAGAAACATTCCCTTATCCACTATCTTAGGAAACCATATGGATCAATTCGTCTTCCGCGTTGTTCGTGAGCCATCCGCAGAGGATCATCATGATGATAATACCATAGTTGGACACCCTCGTTCTGTGCAGAGAAACGAAAAAATCTACATCAAAAGGAGGTACTGGATCAGAAGGATCGGTTTCGAAGATGATCTCGTCATCAGCGGTGTTGCCAGACCCTAGTCAGTACGTCCCTATACCCTTGCCTTTGCTTTTGCCCTTGGAGGACTTGCCTCCTTTGCCGCCTTGGCCAGATTTGGCTTTCCCACCAGGAGGCTGTGCGGGCTCAGCTGGACGTTGTGAGCCAGCAGCGGCAGCACCAGAAACTCCCTTATTTGGGTGGAAAGCTTGTTCCCGTTGGTGCCGGCTCGGTGGATCCCCGAGCTCTGTTCGCTTGCTGTCTCGCCTTCCTCCGCTCTGCCTTCTCCTGGATCGTGTCGGGATTACGGTTCATCTCGAATATGACTCCCCTCTTCGGAGTCCGAGGAACTGCTGCTGGAGCTTTCCTCGGCGGTGCTCCCACTTCGGTCGCGGCTTCTGTCGGGGCTTGTGGTGCCTCCGCCGGCTGCGCAGCCTCTTGCAGGACAACTGGTGCTGGCACCGCTACGGTGTCCAAGCTCGACTCTGAAGAGTCGTCGTCAGGCAGGTTGTTGCCCGCTTCGGCCTGTGCGCCTCCGGCGGGGCTTCCAAGCGCCTTTTCTTTCCGCGCTCTATGCGCTCCTGTTGTTTTCCCAACAGCGTTCTTTTTCTTGTAGCGGCCCTTAGTCGCGCCCGGAGGCCGTTCCCACCAGGGTTTCCCCTTCTTTTCGCGCCCTCCACCGCCGCATGTGGGGTGCGCGCTTCTTGCGGGGCTCTGGCTTCTTGGTCGGCGCTGCCACCTGCTACTGGAACTCGCCTGTGCTGTGTTGCGGCGGTGCCAGTCCTCCATCCCGGCCCAACCGGCACGGATCGCTGTTGTCGTGTGGGTCAGTTGCCACTTCTGCCCACACTTGCTCTTGCCACCAGCTGTGCTGTTGGTGGTCGGCCTCCTCCTCTGCTTGGTGGTCTGTCTGTCCACCAATCCTGCCGAGACCAGTCGCGGTCTCGATTCCAGCCGTCCTGGTTCCACCACCCGTCGTTGGACGTGGTAGCGAAAAGGAAGGGCAGTTCCACCCGCACTTGGTGGATAAAACCTTAAAGAGCCGCCCCAAACGGAAGAATCTCTGTTCCCGGTTTGGAGGCCGGGCGCCTGGTTCCCGCGCTGAGCGCCCACCGCCTTGCATCCCGGCTTTCACCACAAACATCACATTTTTGAGGGCGGTGCCACCCAGGCCAGGCCGGTAAAGACCTGCGGGGCTGCCCGCCACGGAGACGCTGGCCCCAAGGACTCTCAGCAGAGCTCCGCTACCATGCGAAGGCTAAAAACGGCGCACCGACCAGGGGCTCTACCGGCAGGCACTCCGTTTTCGAAGCCACAAAGAGGGCTGCGGTGCGCAGTGGTTGAACTGTGCAAACAGAAAGCGTGAGGTAGCCTTAGCTTCAAGCCCTCGGGTGTTGGGTACTTAAGGAAACCTACAGATTTCTCGCACTTTGGGGATAAGGAGCGTTTCTTTTGCAAGCAACGACAGTTGTTGCCTCGTTTGCAGGTGCCTTTCAGGAAGTCGTAACATACCCTTTCGGGCCTGTGGATCGTGACTTGTTCGGGCTTGGTGATCTACCTCTGCCTGGACTGCGGGGCCTTGAACCTCTAGGGCTTTGCGATTTCTCACGGCCACCTCTTCGTGAGGGGCTGGCGGAGCGTGGCGAAGCTGCAGCACCATACTTGTCCCCATGAGAACGAGCTATGCGATCTCTGTTCTTGCACTTGCGTTCCCTTGTCAACATCTCCTTGATGGAGTTCTTCAAGAACAAGTAAGTGTGCTGTTCGCTACCCTCCTTGGCCCTGTCGTAGATTTCAAAGTCGTACTTAATCTTTTTAGACTGTCTGAGTTCTCTCAAAAAGATGTCCCTCAGAGTTGTTTCGTCAGGCATGTGGCTCAAGCCAGAGATCACACCCTCCCAGTTGCTAAGGAATGTACTCAAGTCATCATTCAACAGACGAACCTTAAGCAAATCCTGAACCGAGTACAACGATCCCACTTTCTCGTTGGTCTTAGCCTGCCTTCCCCTAACCGCTCTGCACTTGGAAGCCTCCGTTTCCTTGAGGATTAGGATCTCCCGTGCAAGCTCGCCCCGTGCTACCTTTGTCAATGCCGAAAGCAACTTCGTGTCGAGGATCAGGAACTTGCCTGGGTCCCTCAGCCCTTCGTGCGAAGCTGTTGGGCTGTAAACCTGGAGTACCCACTGAAAAACGTCATCGGGACTATCTGAAGCAGCTTGGATTGTTTCTCTAGCAGCCGTTTTCCACGAGCGATACGTTTCGGGGCTCAGGAATTCGGGCAGACTGCTTCCTTGACCTTCGGCTTAGCATCCTCGCTTGACCTCGAATCCTTTAGGTTTTCGGGACTACACTCGGCGCACCGTGTTCGGCCGCTAGATGGGCCGTCGTAACCGGCTGAGCGAACCCTGCCGAGCCCTCAGGTACTTTCTGTTGTTCAGGAGGGTGTGCCGTGGTTGCTGAGGGGTTCATGGCCGAGAACAGTTCCCTTGCACCTGAAGGGATGGAGAACAAAGGTCCTTTGGGAGCTGATGGGGGTGAGCTGGAGTTCTGAGGCTCTGGTGTGCCTGGGGCTTGTACCGGCTGACCCTTTGGAGTAGCTGTATCATACCTCTCCAAGCTCTTTTCCAGGGCCCTTTTTGCTGACTCCAATCTATCCTGGAGGTCCTCACTCTGTTCTTGAAGCTCATGAACAGTTGACCTGTGCTCCTCCTTTGTCCTTTGGTTGTACTGTTCAAAGTTGGATTGAAACTGCTGGACAAGTTCCTGCTGAGACTCCAACACGCCGTGGGATGCCTGTTCCTGCAGCCCCTCGGCATACCTACTTTCCAGAAGCTGACAGACCGATGCGTCTGAGATTCTGGTTCTTTGTTAGTTCCTCTAGTTCAGTTCTGAGTCTGACGTCATTTGTTGTGGAGTGCCGCTGTGCTGCTATGAGCTCCTCGAGCAGCGCTTGTTCTCTCCTTGCAGCTTCTCGTTCACAGTTAGCAACCATGTTTTCCAAGGAGCCAACTCGCTGGAGATGGACATGTTCCGCTCGCTGTTCAAGATCATGTTCTACAGACTCGATTGCATGCCTGTGCATGACCTCGGCCTTAGCCTCTAGTTCCTGGACTTCGGTCCTCACCTGCGTGATGTTCACTTCAAGGCTTTGGGGTGCAAAAACATTACACTGTTGGAAGATGCTCTGCACTCCGCTGGGGACCGCGCCCCTAGGGGTCGGGCCACTTGCTGGCAAGTTCAGGGTCGGGACGTTCTCTTGTGCTTGCACTGCTCTATCACTGAACTCTAACAGCCATCCTTTTTTGAAGTGTTGCTTCTGAAATCGGCTCGAGGCTGGCCCGGGGGGTCTAGACCCGAAGCCGGGCCGTAGGCAAAGTAACCCCCAAACCAGACTTTGTGAGAAGTCGGATAGGCAACTACCTGCAGAAGGTTTTGAGGCAAAACAACATGTCCCCTCCGTACTTTGCAGGGGGGACTATAGGCTAAGGCTAGAGAGTCCAGAGGCTGGGCTCTGAGGGCTAGTATCACTTGTGTGTTACAAGTAAGGCTAAGGCGAGACTCCCTAGGCTGAAAGGCTCGGTCTGCAACGGCTTGCGTGACAAGGCCACTAAGTGGACTTCGTTAGGCACGAAGGCCGAGTGAAAAGACAGGTAGGCTCCCACTAACAGCTCAGAGGCTTCCACCGAGGACGATGAAGACGAAAAGACCTGGCAGGAGTGGGTTCGGGTGGGTATCCTATGGGGGCTAGGGCTTGCAGCGGGCAAGGATTAGGGCAAGGCGCGGATGCCTGGGCGGGCATGTCGTCTCGGCTTTGCGAGGAAGCCAGAAACCCTTAGCCGTAGACCTTAGGGGCAAGGCTTGGGCCAGGGGGCTACAGAGCCCGACTTTGCGGGAGGGCAAGAACCTGCTGAGGTTGAGGCTACGTGCCTGCTGGGCTCGAGGCGAGTCTTCTTGACCTGGACATCAAGAGGCTCCGTCCAAGTAGTTCAGGTTCGGCATAGCCGAGGCTTTTGGCGCGGCGAAGCATAGGCTGGGTTCGACGAAGACGCTAGTACCTGGCGAGGGTGGGCGGGTTCTTTTCTTTGAAGGAGGCTGTGATCGATAGTTCAAGTGCTAGAGCCAGACACTGCGTAGTGTACAGATTCACAAGCTAAGAAAACATACACGAAACAAAACGTGTAACGTTCTCTTGTGCTGGCACTGCTCTATCACTGAACTCTAACAGCCATCCTTGAAGGGGTGTTGCTTCTGAAGTCGGCTCGAGGCTGGCCCGGGGCCCGGGGGGCCTAGACCCGAGCCGGGCCGTAGGCAAAGTAACCCCACGGTCAAAATAGGCGCAATCGTAGGATCTCCCCCACCGCGGGCGGTGGTTCTGTCCTGGGACCGAGCGGCATATTAGGCTAGCTGCTAGGCTCCGTGTCAAACGAAAGACAGACGCTCGTCTCTTTTTTCACCGCTTACGGCTGTGGGACTTGGCAGTAAAGCGGCTTCCGTAGACCAAGACGCCTCAGAGAGGCTGAGGAGGCTAAGAGCTGCAGGGGCACACGGAAGCGATCTTGGGCACGATGTGCGAAAGCTTGTAGGCGTCCGCGGCTGAGGTCATCTGCCCATTCATTGTGGGCGCCTGCCACATGAGAAACCTGCAGGGTAACCCCGTTGGCCGAGCTCCAGGAGGCTATGAGGCCTAGGAACTCGGAGAGGGGCCACGATGTCGTGAACATCTTGTTGACTCCACCCTCCGTAGGCGTGTTGTCACTCTCGGTAGGTAGGCAAACATTCATGCGAGAGTGGCCGTGGTGGGCTTTGGCAGAGCTGGGCTAGTGTTTCGAAGCAGGCAATGTACTTCTGGGCGTCCTTGGTCAGGAATGGCCAATAAACCCTGATTTCGTCCATGGTGTAGCTCTCGGCAAACCAGGCTAGGCTGTGTTTGGTAGAGTACCACCCCCCGATCCCGACCTGGGATCCTTCCGCCATGGCGTCTGCTCGGGCTAGGCTGCTGAGCATGGGCGGCAGGGATAGCGGTGTTGTGGGGATAGCAGCTATCCTAGGCGACAGCCACCGGAGGCTCTCGTGGGCTGACTTGGTCATCTTAGTGACCGGGCACGATGGGTCTGACACCCGAACCCAGGTGTGGCCTGTGGGCTTGGAAATGAGAGGCAGGTCCGTCTTGCAGTAGACGGGTTTGTTCCCCCACTCTATAACTCGAGAGTGCAGGGGAATGCTTAGGCCTAGGCATTCCTTAGTTAGGACTGCTCGCGAGTCCAGGCAATGTAGGAAGGCAGGCCACATACGGGGCGCGATCGAGAAATTGGCTCCTGGAAGGCTGTTAAGTAGGCGATATAATGGGGCTAAATATGGCCTGAGAACGTGGCTTATATTTGTGGCCCACATGAGTAGGCCAATGCAGGCTTCGGGGTCTTTTCTGGGGACCTTCGGACGGGACCACACCAGATTAGGCTGTCTCCGATGGAAGCTTTCTTCCAGCTGATGGGGGCTCCTAGGCAAGATAGCGCGAGAATGAGGACTAGAAGCGATTCCTGGGCTGACTCGCGGAGTAGGGCTGTGAGCAAGTCGTCGACATACAGCCAGGCGCGGTGTGGGCGGTCCGCCAAGAAGGCATGTATTAGGCGAGTGATAAGGCCTCCTACTCGTTGCCACCAGTAGGCTGAGAACTTGGCTCCGAAGTGGCATACCACGTAGCGCCACAGTGTCCCGTTAAAGGCAAACAGGAGAAGGCCCTGTTCGGACTTGTGCACTTTGACCCTTTTATGGGCTGCTTTAAAATCGATACTCGCTGCTGTATAGGCTCCCCTAGGGTCTTGGGGCTGGAAGGATCGGCGAACCTCCTGGACCGTAGGCATAGAGACTGCTTCTGGTATGCGGCATGGGGGGTTAACTTGGCAGATGGTGCTGTCGAGGACTAGGCGGGGGTCCCTACCCTCGGCTTTAACTAGGCCAAGTTTACCTACGGCAATGCCCTTGGGCCACATCTGCTTGGCTGCTTTGAGACCCCCTGGCACCTGTTGAATCCAGCCGGAAGTCTCCTCTTCTGCTAGTAGGCTTAGGACTGTTTGAGGGTCCTCTTCGGCTGGTTTCCAGTTACCTTGGCAAACTTCTCGGCCTGATTGCGATAGGGGCTGAAGCTTGGCTGGGCCGGTAGGCTTTATGTCAGAGAACACCCCTGTGTGCACACCTTGGTCGAGGAATTTCGGGAGTTCCGAGTCGGGATCTTGTGTGAGGTCTGCGAGCCTGCAATAAGTTGAGGCGGAAGGGCTGGCCAGGGCTGACATGGCTCATGCTAGCCTTATCGAGGCTTAGGGCCTGGCACAGTACTTCTAAGGCCTGATTTCGCTTTCTCTCGGAAAGGGGGTGTTCTGGTCTGCTTTGACTAACGTGGCCAAAAACCCTATGGGCTAGGTCAAGGCCGGCTGCCCAGGAGAGCCAGGCGCGCGAGGCTTGGGCTAGGGGCGAGTCACCTGCGATGTTGTGGTCGGTTGAGCTGGCGGAGCCCGCGCCGTCACATACCGGCGACCTGTTGGGGACGAAGGGACCCTGGGCTCCAAAAAGGCTATTGAAGCTTAGGTCGGCTACACCTGCATGGCACGTATGAAGGTTGCAGACACGGCTCATAGCTTCTAATTAGGGCCATGAGCTGTTCGTCAGGGCAAGGCCACGTGGGCAGACGGGATGTGGCTATGACGATGTGATTTGGTGAAGGTGCTGGGCAAAGTTGCATAAGAGGCATCATGTAGGCAGGCTAACACTGTGGCTGACTGCAAGAGTGAGTGGGTCTTGGGCACAACGAGGCTGTGGCTTGGATTGCTTGTAGGAGTGCCGAGGCCTCTTCGGGACCGGATACGAGGTCGTGGAGGCCCCCGACCATGGCTACGATATGTCTTCCCCAAATCCCCTTCATGATGTCCTGGATGGGGGCTTGGTCTATGCTCGTGTTGACTTGGAGCACGGGGCAGGCCTCCCTGTTGACAACTTTGGCGCATTGCTTACCTAGGCTAGATGCAAGGTCCAGAAATGTTCTTCTCTGCGTGCTCTCTTGTAAGAGGCCGAGGTCCAAACCCTGTTTGCAAATCTGCGTGGGAAGGTCGGGCGACGGGTTGGCTTGGCGAGGCTGGATGTGGGCCAGCGTCTGAGGCCCCTGAATCCCCATCAGCGGGGCTTGGGTGGTGATGTTTTGTGGCG